GACTCTTTGGTTTAATGAATGGGAGTAATTTGCCGGTTCCCTCTGGATATGTTAAACTTTTTTTCCTTCTGCAGTAGACGAGTTTGAAATTTTCAATTGTGTTAACGACGTACGTGATTTTATTCGTCCGTTAACAAAATAATCAACGTAGTCGCCAGAAGGTGCCTTTAAGAAAATATTTTGCACGAACGAACGAGAGGTAAGTTTGACATTTTCAATGGCGGTCATGAAATGCGTGATTTCATTCGTAGACAAGTTCTCATTAGCGAAGGCCTACTACTTTGATTTTGGTTAAGGTAGATTATCATTTACACCGACGAAACAGTTTGTCACAGCCCTTCGTTTGTTGTCCTCTTCTCTCTCTCTGCCTACGGTTTACCGGGCAGTTCTGTTTGTGACGATAGATAGATAGATAGATAGATAGATAGATAGATAGATAATTTGGGGAATCGAATAAATCATAAATCGGAAATAGAGGGGTGTGATAATTGATAAATCATAAATATATATCTCCTAAGATAACGTCATCTATAAATTGTTGCTTTGCTTATTTTTATTTGAGAATTTAGAATTGAATTTGAGCTTTTTCAATTCTGAAAAGGAATATGAATATGGTCATATTTTTTCTCTCAGGTTAATTTGAAGATAGACTTTACATAGTAAGATTTTTTTATATTTTTTTTTGAAAATTGAATTCCTGTCCATGATATTTGAACATCATATATTTCTGCTTTGTGTGCTAAATTTGGTCTATTAGTGATGTCTATTCTATAGAACATGGAATTTTCAGATAGGAGGATAGAGAGTATAGGACAGATTCGAAAAGAGTATAGGACAGATTCGAAAAAAAAACTATCGATGTAATAGTAGCGTCGGTGGACATAACAAAGAATCTATGAATGGAATAAATGAATCCCTCTTATAGGTCTAATCTATTTATACATGACAAAAAGATCTCAATTCGAAGCTATCTGAAAGTTGTGTAAAGGTAAGAAAGATAATGAAATAATAGCACCTATGAGAACTCCAAATGATTAGGGTGACACTCTACCACTTTCTTTATAATATTTTTAAGATTTTTTTCAATTTTTTTTTTTTTTGTTTTACAAAACACAATTATTGTTATATATACAAGCCTGGAGGAAGGTGGGGATGACGTCAAGTCCGCGCGTTTCGCCTTTCATAGCGTCCTTTCTTTCTCAATGCCAAGGCATCCACCCAATGCATTATTTTGGATATAGCAGGGCCCTTCGCTACTTCTCAATGAGCTTCAGGTAACCAAATATGAACTGGTACCATAGGTACTTTCACTGCAAAAGATGCAAAAAAAGAAATCCATAGCAATATTTGACGTCGTTCGCTAAATTCTGTTGTTAATAAGATTTGTAAATCAGTGGTTCCCGTTTGAAACAAAATCAATAAAATGGGCCCTGGGCCGAGTCCCACATACACCGTTGCGCCAGTTCAACGTTGAACTACTGTCTTCACCCGAATACAACGTACGGTCATTATAGCTGTATCTAGACTGAAAGATGCCTCAAATACAGCTTTAATGACCGCACGTTGTATTCGGGTGAAGACGGTAGCTCAACGTGTGTGAGACCCCACGCGACGTCTGAGATGCAAGGGAGCTGGGCATCTAGCGGTTCGTTTTCAGATGTGAGAAATGAAAAAGACTTTTTTTTTTTTTTTTTAAATTCAAGAGAGGTGGTGAAAAATCCCCGCACTCCAATACAAAGCCCCCTACCCTCCCCATCGTCCGTCGAACTCAATACCCCACCACTTCGAGTGCAGCGGAGTTCTACGGTCAACGGCGGAAGTGGGGTATTGAGTGGAAAGGTGGATTGGACGCGGGTCGAAGAAGGTGGTAAGCGCCCCCCCTGAGGACGACTGCGTGGTGGCGGTCGATACTGGTCGGGGTAGCCATAACCCACTGGAGGACGACATGCAGTCAAACGTACTTTGTGCGTTGCTGTGAAGCTTTGTGTGTAGAGATAATCTCAAGTGTGACCTGTCTCTCAAGTGCGACTTGTATCCAAGTGTGACTTGTCACACTTGTCTTTCAAGGGTTACTTGTCGATGTGCTGCGTGCACTAAGCTTCTCGGATTTCCCAATAGTTCATTTTTGTATTCTGATAAGGGACGCTGGGCCCGGTTCCCAGCTGTGTTGCTCCCCACGAATAGATTGGAGGAAAAAAAAAAAAAAAAAAAAAAAAAAA